TAAACATGAGTCGAATCAGCGTGGAATCTTATCGAATAATGGAGGAAAAAAGTGGGGAGGCCGAAGCAGATGCAAACGTTTGAGGGCGCACATAATAGACAGCCATTTGGTTTCAAAGCTTAGTCTGATGTTAGTACTAAGCCAACAGCGACCCCCAGAAATCACCTGGTACCATCCCATTAAGGGTTTCAAATGTATACAATCCGTACAGGAAATTTGGTGCCCCGCGAATATGCTCTGTTGTACGAGATTTCAATGACCATGAACGCTGGAAGAATTGCAGCGAACGGTGAAATGTATCGATTAGACTTTAAACAAATGGCTGAGGTCGCTCGAGTGTGACTGAATTACGCGTGCGCATTATTAATTACAAATAAGAATAATAACTGCCATGCTTGACTTTACAAAGCTTCTTTGAGGAAACGACACATTTGCTGGCCGAGCCTGACAAAAACACGTCTCTTTTTGGCGTATAGCAGTTGCCATAGAAAATTATATTGGGCGGACTTCGTTTTCACCCTCAAAATATAGCAATTTCGCCTATTGAATTATGCAATTTATTTCCTTTTATGCTATCCGTGAATGCACGGTTGATAATGCCTACATTCGATAAAATTCCTAAAGGAATTAACACGGTTACGAAAGCTTACGAAAACGACTGTGGCATAGCGTAGATACAGTTAACATGATGCGATGCCTATGGCTGTTTTGTGTTTGAATGCCCGGCTGTGGGGAAGCAAAATGAAATAGCCGTTTTGTCATTTAACATCAGCGAGTTGCGTGTATATTGTGGGAGGTGCAGAGATTACACTGAGTAAAATAGGCCCAAGCGGCTATTTGCTCTTCAGTTGGACGAGGTTATCTGTTTTGTTTAGGATGTTAGGGCGTGGAAGAGAAGTTGGATTCAAAGAAAGATAAAAAGTCTTTTTAAGCGGATTTCCCCCAAATTGGAATGAACTAATTCCACATACCACTGATTCAAAGGAAATCATTCTACAAATAAATGGAACGGACAAATCAGTTTCTTAAATGTGGATTTTGGATAACGGTATGCACGTTTGGAAATAGATCACTCATATACATGGGCGTTTTATCGTTTTTTTTTTTTTTCGGGAGAGTTGAAAATATTTTCAAATTGCACGTCCAATACATTGTTATTAAATATTGTGCAACCTTAACCCGAACCGACGCACAATTTTTTGCCTCACGGAAAGCGGCTAAATGTGGCACTAAATAACGTCTTTCTGTCAGGCAGCAGATGATTTATAGACTTGAATTGTTTATTATTTTGTTCGAGGGGGTGAGGTGTGGATAGCTTAAGGGCTTTGACATGGAATGTTATCGTAGAATTAACATTTTTTCTGTATCAAGATCATGGCTGCTGGCATTGCGCATGCGTATAACAGTGCTATCTCTGCCCCCCCCCCCCAGCATTCTGTCACCGCTGGGTTACCACTTGACTACTGCACTTTTTCTGGGTCTTTGAAAAGATTTTCAAACTCCATTTAATTCTGCTTGGTATTTGCAAATACACAGTGTGAAGCTGTACATCAATATCACACACTGGTCAGGTTAAAGCTAATTGCTAATTATCACCAGAAGCAATGAGAAAGATACACTTACAGTATGTATACCGGAATGACGAGTGACAGGTGGACGATGTCGTGCTGGTTTTCATCAAAATCGAGTAAATTGGAAGTTGTCGCTTGCTGTGAAAAACGTTTTTCAATGTGCTGAGGGAAACTCACAACCTGATTGTAGTTTGGAAAGGCTAGGGAAGGGGGTTAGGCCCTGTGACATTTGAGTATTGAAAACTGTCCATTGAATTGGCACGCATGCATTACAAATGCAAAGGAAAAGAGCGTCCACTAAATGCAATGAAATAATTCTCTAAAATGTCAGACTTTAGACCTATTTCTTTCGCTTTTTACTTTATCGAATGTAAATATGAGAATTATTCTTTCCCCTACCCACTCTTAATTAAACCGTACTCAGTTATTGCATTATAGGGAAAAAGTTCGAATCGTTCCTTGCTTACCGCTTGAACTTTACATTAGGCTCCGATCAAAACTGGTCTCTCCTTTTGTCCTCGGAACGTGATAAGTTGGTGGATTTGTGAAATAAAAACTTTATACTTTGCCACATCAACATCTATTATCACAACAACGATCCTGAAATTATTAAAATATTTCCACTGAAGCACACATTTCTAAAACTGTAATACTGAAGGCTACATGAGTATTTCGGTTGGTTTGCGGGATTCATAGCAAACTCAACCTTATCATTTTTCAGAAAAAGTGTCGTCTGATTACCTGTCAATAACGAATATACACGGACCCGTTAATACCAGTCACACCTTTTACGATGTTCTGTCTTTCAAAAAGAGCTTGTGCTTTCCGTCGTTATTAGGTGTCGTTTGTTGCTGCCGACATCGGTGTCGAGGGAGATGAACTTTGTTCCTGGATCTGACAACAAAACATGAATATGCAGAGTTAAGAAAGGTGCCCCGGATTGCTACCTTGGTAATGGCTCTTGCAGCTACAAGGGCTAGATTCTTGAAATAATCAGATTGAAAGATAATCAACAGGGAAGGCATTTTCACTGAAAAAGACATGTTTTTCTTTCTCGTAGTCGTAGTCTGCTTTTTTTCTCTTATATTTTCCTCTGTTCCGTAAGGGGGATTCACTTTGCTCGACCCCTGCCAACCCAGAACCTCACGCCCAGCACGGTGCCGTGGACTTTGGACGACAAATCGATAGGCTTGCAGAAAGTACTGATAAGGTAGCATGACACATTACATGCAAAGGTACGGGTTCACCCAAACCGAAACCGCATTACAACGGAATTACTGTCGTTGCCAACCGGTTGGGAACCACTCCAGCCTCCTTTGCCCTATTTTTCGCTGAGAAATGTTTTGAAGTACTTTATCGCTGGGATGTATTCAGCTTCCACGAGCAAGATGAGGCACGCAGTAAAATTCCAACTATTTTTCCTGGCCATCCTGTGGATATTTGCCGTTACCACAATAGGTAATCTGCATTTTAAATGTTTCCACTTAATCTATTTTATGCTTCGTAATCCTTTATCACACCGGGTTGGCTATGAAAAATACCACGTCTTTGACAAAAATCTCACTTATTCGGTAATTTTAACAATATATGGTTTGTAAGCTTTTCCAGTGCTGCAGGTGGAAAATTTATGAAATTTCGGAAACCGTCAACCGTTGAAATAAAAAAAAACGAGGCGGCGTTTTCGTTAATGTATATTTATTACTGTTTCTTTAGTTTGATGTAGACAGTTCAGGCGATAGAGTGTACCTCATAGCATTTTTGAACTCGTCTTTTTCACCTGTAAATTGCTTGCTGTGGCTACACTGCCTTGGAATAAGCACTTATTTGCCACACTAATATTCGACCCGTACGAGGTTTTGATTCATCATTTTCATATTTGAAAACGTCTTCCAACCTAATTTAAAAGCGCTTCCTATTCGTCTGGGCTGTGGTCCTCCATCAGGATGACTTCTTGTACAAAGAATTTGCTTCTGACAGAAATCATTTCCAAATTGGAAGTGAATAACATTTGTGATTAGGAAACACTCAAGCGCATTTGTGCGGGATCGGGAGAAACATCAATTATTCGTTCGATTACAAAAAGTGGATGGAATCGGGAAGACGTATCAGTCAACCTGAACCACAGCTATTTAGTTCCAACTTCAGACTTTGGAATGAAAATGGCTGTTCGTTGTGTGTGCAGTACAGCATGCACCAATTCTGACGCACAGGCCTACTCCAACATTTTGGTTCAAAGAATTTAGACACTCATATCACAACTCCCTCTAGACATCTGCAGGAGGACCTTAAGTCGTCCGCCAGAAAGACGCATTCTACCTGTGGGCCATTCATCTGAATTCTGGGACTTGACCATGCTCAGAAATATACACTTGTATGTGTTAAAAGTGGAGTAGGGCCCATGCATTGTAAGGTTTATACCTTGCAGATGTAGCACCATGAAGTCCTCATCTTTACTCGGTTCAGAATCTGAGAAATGATCTGTAGAGAAGTTCCACCTGGCAGCCAACAAAACAGGAATGATCTCTAACGAGTCTGCCAGTAAGTGTCGTCAGACATCTCATTTGGTCTGCCGGAAACCGTCAGTTGGCGATCAGGATATTTTAACCTCTTGATTGAGCTTACAAATACCGAAGGACGTACAACCTAATATGTGGACTTGTGTGCTTCTGGAAAGACTGCATCATGACAAGACCTCTGTAGGTTTTTGAATCTGTCCAAGTCCTGTCTGGCTTCACAGGTTTACATATTTTGCCTTTTTTCCATTTATTCTTTCGTTTTGTTTTTGCCTTTTGTTTTACAAATGTAAAGTAATAATTTTTTATTCGCTTTCAAGTCATCAACCGTGGCAATTTTGGCAACAAAATCCTACACTTATTTTCCCCTTGTACTACCGACTAGCAGAGTTTGTAAAGCTCTGCTCAACGCTTGCATAATCACGCTTTGCTGTATGCGATTTCACGCTCCACGCCCGTGGTTATTGCTCACTGGGCAAAGGGACTTCCCAATTTAGCCTCCTCCCCAGCGTACGTGCATGACGCGACTAAGTAATCCCACTTTGACCTTCCGCAATTTTTGAAAAGCCACCGGAGCTGGGGTCGAGTGGGCTGGCATGCAGGTATTGACCGAAAAGTCATGACTAGAACCAATTATCATAGATAGACAGATCCTTGTACACACTTTCGGTGCACTTCAGAAGCCTCTCGTGACAGATAGTTGTTTGTTGAGTACCATTTTGTGCGGTCTATTCTAAACACCCTTATGAAAAGATTCCTTTCAACCGCTGGAGTTCTGATAATGCATCAGTCATTATGTTGGAATGCAGGATACAAGGCACACTAGTGACACGGTAACTTGCGATATACTCGTGCGGTTAAAACTGTTCAACCTTGTGTAGGCATGCTGTCTATGGGACAAACTGTAAGTTTAAACATGCGTGAGAATGAATTCATTTGACTCTGCAACCTTTACTTGAAACCCTACAAGCGAGGAATGTAAACTGATATTTGGAGTGCAGAGTGTTTAAAACTGTCCTTATATTTTCATTCTTGGCAGATTTTGCAACGCCGACATCGTCGTATGAAGTTGGGTTTTTTTTTCTCTACAAAACCAAATGATTCATTATTCTCTCTGAAAACCCAACCTGTACCAAACAATGAAAAAAATAATTAAATGTTGAGAACTTCGAAATAAGAAATAAACAAAGCTTCCTGAAATTACCCTCAAATGAAGTACTTTTAACGTTTCCTTTGATGAAAGACTTTAACTCTACATTGGGAAACTGGAGTTTTATCCACTGTTGTATCCATCGTAAGGAAATCCCCCCCGGGTAATTAACTGAATATTTGTCTGATTTTGGTTGATGTTTCTTTTGATTACAGACGCAGCGTCTACCCTAGCAACAACCACTTCAGAAACAACAATCTCATCAGATACTTCGCCTGTTGAGGCAACAACTGAAGGTAATGTGGTCAAGCAAACGGGTGTTTTTTCCGTATGTTGTAAATTTCAGAACTTGCAGGGGATTTTTGATTTTTCCTGTGTTGCACCACGCTGAAATATGCTAATAAGCTAATAATAATATGCTAATAAGGATCCAAGAAGGTAGAGAATAAGAGAAGGGCTGATCCTATGATGCCTCTGAGTCGACCTGTCTGAGTCTCTTGAGAAAGTTTGGGCTGATAAAATTGAATTCTGACTCATTCTCTCCTTTCTGACAGATCTGAAATCAAAAATTTCCACTGGCCCTTCTGATACTACGGTTTCATCCACGACGCCGTCAGTGGAAACAACATCGAGAGGTAATTGCCTTGTGGAAAGGGTTCAACTAAGTTTTCCTATTATCGATTGTTTGGTTCTCAATAATTGTCTCCAAATGTGTGTGTCAATCAATTAAATATCATCTCAAGTATATCTTTTTTCAGACTCGAAATCGACCATAACTACTGACAATTTGGAGACTACATCGTCAGGTACCACTCCTGTCGAAGCAACACGAACAGGTAATGGGACGGTGCCAAACTGGTTGTAACTTTGGGAGGTTTTGGGGCTGCTTCATAATTAAATGCTTTTCTATATATCTAAGCAAGCAGAAACTCACGAAACGATTATTCCCTCCCTCCGATGGACGGTTTCCGAGCTTCCAAAGATATTCGACCCTTTAAGAAAATGTTCTATCAAACATCTCTTAATATGTTCCCATTGTCGGCAGAATTGAAATCCACAGAGTCAACCGTCCTCTTGGACACTACAGGTTCATCCACTACCTTGGTGGTTCGGACAACATCTGATGGTATTAAACCAAGTGTTCATCTTAGTTTTCCTGAAATTTCAGGTTTTTCCCTTTTGAAAGCAGTATCATAATCAAATATACGTAATAAAAATGAAAGTTGTCTGAGGTTTTTAATGTTTGTTTTGATGACAGACGCAGTGTCTACCGTAACAACCGGCGTTTTACAAAGTACAGTCTCATTGGGTACTATTCCTGACAAAGCAACAACGGAAGGTAATGTCGTATGTTTGTTTACTTACCATATTCTGAATTAAATCGTTGGTTTCACCAATGTATTATCTTCGTAAAATATTTGACTACGTGTAGTAGTCTTACAATATGGGAGTATCCCGCAAAGCCGAACTTTTACATATAAAATATACGTTTTCAAAGCCTAGAGACATTCCTTTCTTTGAGAAAATATGTTTCAAATATTCTTAATATTTTATTCGATGGCAGATTTCAAATCTACAGGGTCGACTGCCCCTTCAGAAACAACGGTCTCGTCCACAACGTTGGCAGCAGGAACAACCTTTGCAGGTCATTGTTTGTAACCAAGTGTTCGTCCAAGTTTTCTACTAACTTTCAGAGTTCAACTTCATGTGATATCTGTGAAAGTCGTCATGAAATAAAAAAAAATGATCATTGTTTATTTTCCCCCGATGTTTCGTTCTAATACAGACATCATTTCTACTTTAACAACTACCCTTTCAGAGACCACTTTGTCGTCAGGTACTTCGCCGGTTGAGACAACAACTGAAGGTAATGTCACTAAAGCAAAACGTCTCTTTCTTTTTCTTTATGTTGCACCAGTTTTAAAATTTAATGTAAATTTTTGTTTGCATGATGAACACTTTTACTACAAATTCAAGAATGTTCAAATATCGAAAAACGCGGATATATTTCATTTGCGGACGTGTTGCAAGCCTCCCAAGATATGCAGTCATTTAATTAATTAGCAAATTTCCTTTATTTCCACAAAAGCAGGAAAGAAACGTTTCAAAATGTAGATTATTTTGATTAGTAGGTTAATGTTTTTCAAGCCTCACAAAATATTAGAGCTTTTCAGGAAAAAAAATTGTATTTCTTCGATATGTATCCATTGATGACACAACTCCAATCTGGTCTGCCATTTTGGGTATTTTGGTCGCTTGCAGAAGCAGTGTCTACCGTAACAACCGGCATTTCAGAAACTACAATCTCATTGGGTACTTCGCCTGTCGAGACAACGACTGAAGGTAATGTTGTCAGTCAAAAGAAGCGCCTGTGAAGATATTTTTCTCAATGGAAGACGTGGGTTTTGCTTTGCTTTTATCACCAACACGTTTTCGACAAGTGATCTGGCAGAGAAATGCCACGATGCTTGACGTTTTCTAACCTGCTCAAATATTTGACAGATTTAGAAAATTGCCTGTTGAATACCCATTCGATATTTTCCCCCGTTGAAAGATTCGAAATCTACAAATAACGAGGATTTTTTTTCCCTTGATGGTTTTCCAAGCCTCCGCAGATATGTAATCATTTGAGAAAAAATTACTTTGTTTCCCTTGACAGCAGATGTCAAAACAATGTCAACTGCCCCTTCTGGAGCCACTTCCTCATCCACTACAATGACGGGGGAAAAAACATCTGCAGGTAAATATCTGAAACCAAGAGTTCAGCTAGATTCTCTTTAAGAAACTGGAGATATTGCCTCTTCTTTGGGCTAATCCCTTCATGAAACATACTTACATCTATATTGATTTTGTCCAAGTTTTTCCGAAATTTTTTGTTAACAGACGTAGTGTCTACAGTAACGACTGGCGTTTCAGAAACAACAATCTCATCAGATACAGCAACAACTCAAGGTAACATTGCAAAGCAAACGTGTGTCTTTAATGTGTTGTTGTTCTGGATAAAACTAAGTAGGCTAATTGTGCTTTATCCTAAGGATTATTTGACCAGTAAACGCAAAAAGGAGAATTACGGCAACGCCAACATGTTGCTCCCTCTAACTATTCTGAACTACCTAAAGGTGTCATGCTGAGATAATTCTGTATCAAATCTTTTATATCGATCCTTTGCTTGGATTGCAGATTTACAACCTACAGTATCCACTGCTCCTTTGGAAACAGCAGTCTCATCCACTACCTGGAAGATGGAAACAACATCTGAAGGTAAACTTGGGAAACAAAGTGTTCACCAACCGTTTTCTTCTATGAAATCAAGATCTTACCTTCAATGATGCTTGCCTGTCTAATCGTGAAAGTTCATATGTAGTTCATAAAATTGATATTGTCTGAAACTTTCCGTGATATTTCGTTTGATTACAAACATCGTGCTCTCTTTAACAACAGACGTTACACAGTCAACAGTCTCATCGGGTACCTCGCCTTTCAAGGCAATAACTGAAGCTTTTATCGCGAAAGAAATGTTCTTTCTCTCTGTTGTGTCTGTTCTAATATTGATTGTACACTTTTCGTGGCATCACGATTACACGTTTTCTAGAAATCTTTGAAAATACATCTTCACTTTATGTGGTGGACATTTTCCAAGTCTGTCAAGATATTCAGGCTATTGAGAAAGCGTTCCTTTATGTTTATCCGATTTTAGAGGTCAAATCTACAGTGTCGACTGCCCCTTTAGAATCAACAGTGTCATCTACTACCTTGACGATGGAACCGACTTCAGAAGGTAAATTTCTGAAACTACGTGTTTATCAAAGCTCTCTTCTAGAAACTGCAGATTTTTCTCTTAAATTTTTCTCATAATAAAATCTAGTCTGTCAAGTGATTATTGTCAGACGTTGTCTGATGTTTCCTTTGATCACAGAGGTAGTGTCCACCGTAACAACAGAGGTTTCAGAAACGACACTTTCATCAAGAACGTCGCCTGACGAAGCAACAACTGAAGGTAATATTTCGTGAAAGGAAACCTGTTTCCTTTTTTTCTCTCTTTGATCAGCTCTAGAAGTAACCATTGGTTGTCTTTATTGCGTCATGATGTAATTTTTTTCTAGAAACCAAATAGGAGTAGGACACAGTAAAAATGCAGACACTCACTTTGCTGTGCAATTTGGGCAAAGTTACTAAGAGTTACTAATTGCAGATTTCCAATCTACAGCGTCGACTGCCCCTTCGGAAACCACAGGCTTGTCCACTACCATGAAGATTGAAACAACATTGGGAGGTAAACTTCTGAAGCCATTATGTTGATCAGAGTTGTCCTTCTGAACTTGATATCCTTACAAATACTCTATGCCAATATCGTCTAAAGCATTGCCGTTGTCTCGGTTGATGACAGACTTGCTACCTACAGTGACAAGTCGCGTTTCCGAGACTCCGATATCATCCGCTACTTCACCTGTTGAAACGACAAGTGAAGGTAATGTCACGCACGAAAGGTTTCCTCATTCCAATTTGTCTTTCTACGCTGTTAAGATATTTGGCTGAAGGGCGTGATTTTGAGTAAACGTTTTCTCCCAATTACAGATTTGATATCTAGCATGTCGACTGCCCCTTTGGAAACCACAGTGTCATCCAATACCTTGACCACGGAAACGACAACACTAGGTGATTTTCTGAAGCCAAGCATTCATCAATTTACACTCAAATGTTAACGTTGTGATCAGGTATATGGCAAAATACATAACGATATTCCTGAATTCTAGGGTATATACTGTATGCCCTAGAATTCAGGAATATCGTTTTGCCCTAAGTAGTCTTACCGTCTCTGTTAACCACAGACTTGACATCTGCAGTGACAAGTGGCGTTTCTGAAAGTCCAATCTCGTCCGCTACTCCGTCAGAAGAAGTAACAACTGAAGGTAAAGCCACGCAAGAAAAACATGTTTTATTGTATTGATTGCTAGTCTGCTCAATAAACATATTCAGCTCAATGCAGTTATTTCACTCCACTGTGTCTCTTTTTTAATTGATTACAGATTTCAAATCTACACAGTCGAGCGCCCCTTCAGAAACCCCAGGCTCATCCACTACCGTGACAGTGGAAGCAACATCTGAAGGTAATTTTCTAAAGCAATAGTTTTGATCAAAGCCTTTCTCGTACTTTCCCAACTTTCATTTTTCCTCCATTTGAAGTACCGCGTGAATGCCTTAATCACATGAAGATCGTCTATAGTTGTTTTATTGTTTCTTAACAATGACAGACGTGACATCTGCCGTAACAAGTGGCATTTCGGAAACAAGTATTTCGTCCACAGCGACTCCTAAAGAAGAAGCAACTGAAGGTAAAGAGAAGAAAAAAAATGGTGCTATTGTTTTGATTATTAGTTTAATTTATGAAGATATTCAGCTAAATGTAATGATTCCACTCAATTGTGTATGTGAAAGATTTGAAATTCACGTAGTCGAGCATTCCTTCAGAAACCACTGTCTCATCCACAACATTGACAGTGGAAACAACGTCTCAAAGTAATTTTCTAAAGCCGAGGACTGGTATTAATCAAAGATTTCTCGTAAAACCGGCAAATTTCCCCATTTCAGTTTCACGAGCAGTACCGCGTGCCTTAATATAATGAAACCAATATCCTTTAAAGTAGTTCTGATTTATCTATTGATGACAGACTTGACATCTGCCGTGACAAGTGGCACTTCAGAAAGCCCGATCTCGTCCGCTACTCCACCTGTAGAAGCAACAACTCAGGGTAGGCGCAACATCATCGGAAGTTTGTGTTTGGCTCTTTGTTTTCTCCACCGACTTTCTTAAAATAGTAAACTCATAGTGCCATTATATGTTTCTCTCTCCTTTGCTAGTTGCAGATTTCCGGTCTACAGTGTCAACTGCCCCTTTGGAAACCACAGTCTCATCCATTACTTTGACGGTGGAAACAACACCAGGAGGTAAATTTCAGATATTATTGAGTTGATCAAATTGGTGTCCGAAAAGTTGGCATCCAAATAAATATTGCGTTATATAAAGACGATTGCCTAAAGTATTTTCTTTTTTCTGTTAATGACAGACTTGACATCTGCCGCGACAAGTGGCGTCTCGGAAACTCCAATCTTGTCTACTTCTCCAATAACAGAAAAAACAACAGAAGGTAACATCTGAATGACAAATAAGGTTTGGTCTTGTGATTGGTTTTCCGGACTCTGAAGATATTTGTTTCGGATAGTATCATTTCGAGTACACAGTTTCGTTTTTTTTCTGGATTGTGTGTAGATCTCCAATTTACTGTATCCACTGCCCCTGTGGAAACCACCGTCCCATCC